TCAATATTTCTTGGATTGAAGCTCCAGGCAGAAGGGACACAAACTCAGTTTGAGGACTACTTAATGTAGGAAACAGCACTCCCAGTTTCATCCTACACAGAAAGGTCTTTTAGGAGGATTAAGCACAGCAGATATACTTCCATACTCCAAGAAAAAACAATATATAAACCCTTCTTTCTTTCTAAACCCTTGAAATTTGTCATTAGGAGTCAAGCAACATTTTTTCAAGGTGGTTCTGCTTTGTTTCTCTCTACTGTATACAAACAGAGCAAGCTATTTAATTCCCTCAATTCTCAAATCAACTACGACCAATATTAAATTCCCAATTTAATAACAAAACTGTACAGGTTACTGGCCCTTATGCAACACTGCAGTAGCAGAACTAAGTCACCGTGTTTCTGAGGCTCTCCTCAAGCTCTCTAGGTAACAGCAAACTCGTCTGTATTATCTGATAGTGTTCCATTTGGGCACTTAACTACTATTTTTAACTACTTCCAGTCTCACAGGCGACTTTTTGAAGAACAAACAAACAACAAAGGGAGAACAACATCAGAACAACATCTATTGATGAGAATTAAAAAAAAAGCTAAATCAGCAACGCAGTAGATGTAAGGTATGTAGATTCTAGATTACAGGCTAGACAAAAAAACTGGCAAAAATGTAGTGTTGTTATTTTAATGAACACTGACTGCTTACTACCAAGTTTTGTGATGGGTGTTAAGATGCAACAGCAGACATAGGCTTCCATAATAATGCAAAAAGAAAGTGGATGCTGCTAAAGATTAGCAATATCAAAACTATTTTTTGCACTATTCTGAAGCACAGCAGTCATATTCTGTATCTCCTTTACAGCCGTTACTTATTTCACAGCAGTTTTATTTAAGATGATTTCTATTTGTTTTAATACATTCTAGTACACATTCATTACACAGACCAAATTATTTTACTGTTTTGATCTTGGTACACAAAATACCTTCCTTCAAATTCAATTCTACATCCAAATATATAGATATGTGTGTGCATCTCTCTGTGTGTGCATCTCTGTGTGTGCATCTCTGTGTGTTATTTAAAAACTTCAGCCCTCAAATCTGTTTCTACCGATGGAGACAGGTCACCTTTGCAAGGTGACAATACTAACATCGTTGCTTTTAATGAAAACCAAAACTGCAAAACCTATTCTAAAACTGGATAGCAAAAACAAGCAACAACAAAAAAGCAACAAAAACCCTGCAGTGCACTTTAAATAGGTAAGAATGAGCGAATACTGCAAAATGCCACACAAAATAAATAAATAACCTTAGTTTGTTAATTTCCCTCTTGGTTAATTAACACCTGTATATGACCTTTAGCACTGACAAGTCCAACTTTATCCAGAAAGCCAAAGTTTAAGAATATCTGTCCAAACAGGATTGATTACTGATTACAGCACTGTGAAGAACACAATTCAATCTGTTTGTATTTATTTATTAAGTTAAAAGGATGGAACTGTGTTCCTGAGTAAGCTGTTGTGACTGCCAATGAGGTAGAGAGCAGAGCCATCGCACCATAACAACGATGCTACCATTTCTACATTTATCTAAAGCACAATATAGTCATTATTTTATACTGAAATTAAGCCTTGCTAGAAATCATTTTTCTTTATGTTGTTTGGAATTAGAAGCATATTAAACTGATCCCTTAGGAAAATTCTCTTCTATCTTTGTGCTTTCTCAGACTACGTCTGCATCCTTAGGCAATGAAACAATTTCTATAATTGTAATAAAAAACCCACAAAGTGTTGACTCCACGTTAAGGAAATTGTTGCTTGAAAGATGAAATACTTCAGTGAACACAATAAATCCCTCCAAGTCTAACGCACAGAAATCACATGCTTCAACAGGTACACACATTTTATAATTTCTGATACAAAATTTTGCTTAAACTCATTTCAGTTTTAGCCTTTTGCTAAAAACTCTTTATGGAGCTGGCCTGCATCTCTACATTTTGATGGTGGCTTAGCTGAAAAGCATCTACACTTAAGGGGGAAAATGAAAAAATTGCCATTAGAAAAACTCAGTTCATAGTACAAAGTACAGCAGTGCAGTTACACTACAGTAAGAAAGACAACTGAAGCATTTATTTTACAAGGAATATTTCAATGAAGAGAGGAATAATGAGTCATTTCTGGAGATATCTTGCCATAGAAGTTTCAGTATGGAAACTTCAGTAAATGGAGAATCCTAGATCTCCGTGTTTGCTTCCTCCCAAAACTACACATATTCTGAACAAGAGCATATCAACACATTTTATAACAAAATCTCTAGAATATTATTTCCACTTATTTTCAAAGGCAGGGAACTGCAATTTAAAAACAGTTCCAAAACAGAATTTGGAGCAAGTGTTAGTTAAAGAATACATTTATTAGATATAGGTATATATAGGTATATATATATAGATATAGATATAGGCAGATTTATTTCCTCTGGACCTTGCAGTAATAATATGGGCAGCAATTCTGATTTTGTTTCGGCAACAATTAGGTGCAAATTTTTATTTATTTAATGAACATTTGCACATTTAATCTCGCAATTGTAATATCTTTTCTAAACTCAAGGACTGTTTTAAGCTCCATCAAACATGCAAACATCATTGCCAGGCTTGGAAAAAAAAGAAAAAGAAAAAAAAAAGATGAGTCCCTCTCCCAAACACATACAGAAAGAATGAATTGGCTTCTGCTGTTCTCCTTGTATTGCCAGCTAGGACAGAACACTGTTTATAAGCAATAAATGCCTTACGTTACAGAAACATGCAAACTTAGCCAGTGGTAGAAGATGCAAACACAGAAGGATGTTAATTCCACAGAAAGGTAGAATTCAAAATGCATGTTACAAAATGTTGATAATTATTTTCTATACCAACACACGTTTTTATTACTTACTCATTTGCCATGGCAGCATTTTAATGTTTTCAGTTCCCAAATCCATCCTTGCTAATTACACTGCAAGTATGGACATCGCGTCCATGGATGGGGAAGAAATCCTCACCAATTGGTACATGCAAGACTCATTTACACTTTTACAAAGGGATGAGGAAGACAGCTGACACAAAATGGAGGAAACTCAAGTAGCAAGTAAGCTCTACAGAATGTTTGCCTGTTCACTACAAATCTTCACATTTTTGAAACAGTCTACAGGAACTACCAAGGCAAAGACATTTAACCAGATACATGTACTATATGCCTTAATGCTTCACATTTACTAGATAGCTATTAGCTAAACCATCTCTGAGAAACAAATAAATATACATGTTTAGAATACTGCATATTTTAACAGAACAGTCCGCTGGACGATAAATGAGTAACATTTATTTACACGAGCAGCACCTGGCTCATCAGCAGCAGATTAAATGCTGTATGATAGCATGATTTCTAGTGGTTCTCAAGCTGATACTACACTATATGCCAGAAGATGTTACTAGAATTTGACTGTGTGTTTGTGCAGAATATTTTGCTTCAGTGCTTCATGAAAATTCAAAGTTTATTGGCATTGCCATTGTAGATACAAGACCAAGTTTTAGATGTTTCCAGTTGTAATCTTAGGGCCTTATGCAAGTAATGGCGGTCTACTGTCCTAATGTTAAAAAGCATGCTGCATCTTCTCAACATGCCACTGGATCACTACATTGTAGGTTTATTTGCAACTCAATATTAAGTTAAACTTAGAGCAACTGTTTTGATGCCAGCAGTAATTCAGAAAATATTCAGAACAGATCCTGTAATCCTTTAACATACTTCCCAGTGTGAAATATGCGAAAATTGCAGCAAATATTTACATGGAGCACATCTCCAGAATCTGTTTAATTCCAGGAAAGCATGTTATATTCATGCATGCTACCCTACGTATCAATTTACTATATTAAATACTTTTAAACACCTGTATTATTTATTGGTCAAAATCTGCTCAGAATTCCCAGAATTCTCTTTAGTAAAAGGCTCCTCTTTGTATCAGATAGAAAAGAAGGTAATTATGAACCATAATCATTCTACTTCAATTGAAGCCTATTATTTTAAAACATATGTTACATATATCAAAATAATAAAAGGACATTTTAAGCCACGTAATGGTATATATCACCCGTCTCTGTCACTGAGACATTTATAAGCATCTCTATTACAAACACAAATCAATACACTCAGGGGAACAATAATAACTGCTTCAAGCCATTTGTGCTATTTCATTCTTGACGCTCCTACTCAGAGCCATCTACTAGGGATGGTGCAACCTGGCAATTATGTTTTTTAAATCTCTTGCAATATTTTTTCCCTTTCAAAACCATTAAATATCTTCCTACTAAACAGAGGTCTCGGTTGGAAGATGCAGCCTAAAGTTTTGTAGCATTATGACTGAGAGCCCTCCTGACCTGCTTGAGAAACCTCTCTGATGAAACTAACCATTTCCACTGATTTGAACTGAAATATTGCACACAGAGAAGTGTACACAAAACTTGTAATATTTTTCTAAAAGGCAACACCTCTCTTGAAGATGTTTACATTGCTTACAAAACTAATAAAAACCTCCGCAACAACATTCCAGGTACACACTGAAACCTCCGTTATCCCACTCTACTTACTCTGAGATCCAGCACAGATTTTAGTAGCCTGTTTCGAACATTCTTTACAATTCCTGTGCAGTTTTAGCCAAATATTTTACAGTAAAAGAAAATAATCTGAGAGAAGTGGGAGCCCATAATCTGCTGTGACGCAGAAATAGAGAAGTATAAGGATGCATATTCATATTTGAAAACAATATATTTCCATTAGTACCTGTAATAGGCCTAAATGAAGGAAGACTAGTTTTAATTATGGAATGAGACTGAGGCAGAATTCACTTCTTAAATCAACACTCAATTCAATCCAACACACACACAAAATACCTCAGAACATGTAGGCCTTTGCTTACAGGCACATCTATTTATGTTTTATGAAAATAAAAGAAGGAAATGACACAGTAAGGCTAACAGACCTTATTTTTTGGATTGGACGTGTTCATTACACTTCGAGTTTCCTTCCCTGTGTAGATGACAACACCAATTACAGTTCCTGGAAAACAAAGAAAAACAGAGGTGCCAAGAAGTTAAGAAAAAATGGTCTGAATTAAAAGCAGTAATTTACAATCCTTCAAACAAATCAACTGTATAGAACAAACCTGTATGCGCCATGCATAATATTTGGGATGCTGCTTTTGCAAAACTTATTATAAAAGGATTCTTATAACTTCTTTATATTAATAAAGTTTTCTCAACTTCTTTCCTGAAATTAACAAAGCATAAATAACTGTCCTTCAAATGAAAAAATGAATGAGTACAATAGTGCTGAACACAACTGGACTACATGATCTCAGTGGTCTTTCCAACCTTAATGATTTGATGATCATACACAAATTTCCAGCTAGCTCTGTCATTTATGATGATATAACGCCCAGTTCACTCAATTCATTACTTCTAGACTCCCATAGATAAATCTCTCATTTTTATTAGCCTATTAAAAGAATTCTCTAGTTCCAATCGCCTTGTTGATTTTTACAGGATGTTCTGTGAAAAATGTGTTTCATCATTACCAAAAACATATCTCAAATAAAAATCCAGTTTTTTACTGCTGTTTAGATTTTTACTAGCATGCATCTCACATGCTAGTATAAATAAAGACTATTTCTATTCCTTTTTTTTTTTCAAGTGATAAGAAGTGATTTAATGTTACTACAAGCAATGTGGTCCTTTTTGTCATCTTAATGCTCTAAGCAAATAATTAACATGACTTGTTGGAAACACCTAGCTGAGCTGGCTCTAAAACCTCTAGAAGTATTACAATTCTGGCTGACATTAACTTAATTTACCTTTGGAACATCAAGACAACGTAAAAGATCTGTTATCAGTGTTGTTACAACATAACAGGCTATTAAAAAAAAGGAGAAATTAAAGGAAAACAAGATGAAGGTTAAAGAAAGGAAGTTTCACATAATTGAGAATGACAATGCCACTGAAAACTTTGAATCCTTGTACGAAACATCAGTGACTGTAAGTTACATCTTCTGAACCACTACAATTTTTTTCTATCATTCTCATCTCCATATTAAAGCTTTTCCATAAGAATTTGCTTGACACATTTTCCCCAAAGCGAGCTTGTCTTTGCTGACAGAGGGGGAAAAAAACCTCACAAACATGCAAAAAAAAAAAAAATCCAACTGGTCTCAGACCCACATCAGTATCAGTTTGGGACATTTCAGGTTGGAGGGATTTTGTGAGCTCACCTCTGTCCAGCTTTCACAGCATGCTACATTATAAACTAGATGGCATCCCCCCTACACAATCTAGTCATCTGTGGCTTCAGAGCTGTGCAGCAAAGGAAAAGGACTCTTCTATTTCTCATGGCAAATTCCTCAGTAAGTTACATTTGGCTGGGCTGGCGCAGTTCAGGGAAGCAAACTGTCCTACCTGTTCTTTCATTCTGCTTCTTGAAAAGTTGAGTTTGAAGACGAAAGTGAGACAAAAAGCAGTCTATTGAATTTTCTTCATAACTCTGGCTAAATCCAACAGACCTGATGCCCACACCCCATTAAGGGGAACTGAATCCAATTCAGGGTCTCTGGAAAGATTCCTGTCCTACCAGGGTAAAAACAATGACCACTGATTTTATGTATGGACTTCTATGAGAAACAGCAAGCAGTGGCTGGTAAGAGTGAAGTGGGTAATGAAGAAGAGAGATGTTAGGGGAGATACAAACAGAATAAACTTGCTGAAGGAACTAGGCTTGTTCAGCTTTGAAAAGAGAAGGCTGCAGGGGGATCTCATTGCGGCCTTCCAATACTTAAAGGGAGTTTACAAACACGAGGGAAATCAAGTTTTTGCATGGGTAGATATGGTTTTAAACAAAAGGAGGAGAAATTTAGATTAGATGTCAGGGTGGAGTTTTTTACTGAGAGAGTGGTGAGGTGCTGGAACAGGTTGCCCAGAGAGGCTGTGTTTGAGGCCAGGTTGGATGGGGCCCTGGCAACCTGTCCTAGTACTTCATCCAGCAGCTGACAACACTGGCTGTGGCAGGGGGTTGGAACCTGATGATCCTTGAGGTCCCTTCCAACTCAAGCCATTCTATGAGTCTATGATTCTATCACTGTGTGCCTGGATAAACTAATAAAAGTGGACTTGTATAGAATTAACAAGCATTTTTAGGCACACTCAGAATCCATCACAAGATCATACTGTACTTGCAAAACAAAAATTACGTGAAGTGTATGAAAACAAGAGACAACTGAAATTCACTAAAATCCTATGGATCATGGCACAAAGTAGTGCTTTTTACAGTCATGCAACTATTCAAACTGTTCTGAATTTTAACCAAAGCCCAAATGATATCTGCCCAAATGACCACATTTTTGCATTAATACAAATCTCAGTAAGCACCTCAGCAGGTCTCTCAGGAAACAAAATTATCTTAGCAGTTTGAAACACACTGGTAAATGGAGATGAAAAAGTCCACACTGTTGTGGACCTTCTGAGACTTAATTTAACTCACTTTTTTCTTTCACTTTTCAAAAGGGAATCTACCAACGTTTTCAATAAATACATCACCACAGTCAGCAATGATAAACAAATGCAGGTTTTGTAATGTAAATGAAGAAAACACAGTAACATAAGAGGTTTTCAAAACACATAATGGTTTAAATTAAATGGTTTAAATTAAATGGTTATAAATTTATTTCTTCAGTGACGTTTTTTACTTTATTAAAAAAACAAGTCTTCAGTAACCTACAATTCCACTCCTCCAGGCACTATTACTAAAACAAAGGGCAAAATCTGAAGGAAACCAATAGAATATTCACTTATTTTAAAGACTGCTTAAATGAAGAACCAGCAGTAAAGAGAAAGGTAAGGCAGTGAAATAGATCAGAAATTCTTCACAGAATTCCCCAGGTACTTAAACAATTGTATCATCTACATGCCATAAGAAACAAGCCATATTTCAACAGTAAAAATTTCACAGCAGTAATATACGTATTAAGAACTGCACATAAATACTGTATCTTGCTGTTATCTTTTTAAAACTCACTTGGATGCTGTCCATAAACAGAAGAAGTCAAATGATTTTGTCTCAGTAAAAACATTTACCTAATAACAACAAAAGGACGGCTGCATGGTTTGGACTTGAGAGTGAGGCTTCCTGTGTGAACCTGGCAAATTAGTCTTTGTACTGCCTGTACACACAGTACAGATGTCTGCCAGGGCTTTAGAGTAAGGAGCAAAAAGCACTTCCGATTTACATTTCTATATCTGACTACTCATTCTAAACTCAGGGCATATAGAACATATTAGGTGTGACAAAGCATTCTGAATTCAACATGCAGCTGATAAACCTTTATACACTTACATTTACTGTCATGGATCTGAAAGATGACTGATTTGTGGTGCCTTTCCCCTAAAACTGTCAAGGCATTAGCAACCAGAGCTCAAGTTTTCTGAGGTATTCCCCACACCATTCCCCAAACACTTTTCCTACCTGACCTCGACCTTCTATCTCACTTTGACTAACAGTAACAGCACACTGAGACACCAGGCTAGTGTAGCCAAAGCAACATGTTTTATGTACTGTGCACTAGGAAATGTCAGGAATTCAGCATATGAAAAGAGGAAAATAGGCTGAGACAGACAAACAGTAACTTCAAGGAAAGGGGTCCTCAAGAGCCCAGAAGACAAAGCTTGAAAGAAAGACTCCAGTAAAACTCCATCCTGCAGTCCTGATTCTCTACATAGATTTTTTTTCTAAAAGCGTAAACTCAAATTAGTTCAGGCTCACTAGTGTCTAAAAGAGCTAAACCTGATTTCATTTCCCAGCAGACTCATAGGGGCAATATTTGTGATCACTACTTCATTGGCTTTCCCTCTTTCTGCCTCCCTTTTAGCAACCCTTTCCTAGGATGCACAATAAAGTTTTGAAAAGTAAAAGCATTAAGAATAAGGGGAAGAAAATAGGCCTGATAAAAATACTACTGAAAAAGTATATACGTAGGAAGTCTTCATGGAAGCAAGCCAGCACTTCAAATGTGAGAAAATGGGGGGGAAAACCCACAAAACTCAGCTAAGGGCTGGCAACTGCATCACAGGGTGCCATGCTCAATGATGTCTTTACACACAAATCTGACACTGCACATCTTGTCAAATGCCTATTGCCTATTGCCAATGCCTAACTGGTCGCATACATACTCTGTTTATTAACAGATGATGCCCAGGCTGCCTGAAGAGCACTGAAGGAAGCAGCCTTCTAAGCTCAGAGGCACTATGACTGCCGTACTGTAATGGGCCTGGCTGGGATTACGCTTCCCACAGCAGCCCATACAGCGCTGTGCTCTGTGCTTGTAGCAAGAACAGTGCTGGCACTGCTCCGATGTTTCACTATCGCTAAGCAATGCTGCCATAACATCAAGGCCCTCTCCAACAACCCCTCAAAGCCAGGAGGCTGTGAACTGCCAAAAGGCTGGGAAGGGACACAGCCATGACACTCATCTAAACCCACACAAAAGATAGCCCACGCCATATGTGTCACGCTCAGCAACAAAATAACCCCTACCGACCATCTTGGCACAGACTACAGACCCAATTTCTTGAAGCAAAGTGTCAAAGTAACAGAAGAAAGCTTGCACATAAACACGCTACTCTTTGGGTGAAAAATACCAACCTGCGACAAAACTGATGGCAGACAGTAAGGAAGACTGAAATAAGAGACAAAATGACATGAGGTACCTATCTATAAATAGAGAAATTCATACAGAATTTATAATACAGACTTTATCCTGCTACCAGATGTTTATTCTTCTGTTTTCACGGAATTTGAGTGAGACTCACCACCACAGAGCTCACATGCAAGTAAACATTTTAGGTATAATCAAGTATTCTAAAAGGCCATGCTTAGGTGCAAGCACATTGACCTAAGACTACTTCTGACATTCTGCCACTGTAGGCTTTAGGCAAGGAGGTTTATATATGCTTATAATGGCAAGTGCTAACACAGTTTTCAGTGATCAGAAATCTTGTAATTTCAACTAACTAAATATATATACATATAACTCAGCCTTAATTATGCTAACTTACGTATATTCACCTTGGGTGAAAATAATGATACATCAGTTATCACCAAACCTAGAAAACGTTATCTGTTTTGTAAATGTTCCATCCTATGGTCTGATTTATGACTATCCACCCACAGTGCACTTGTAAAACATTATAAATTCCTTATTAAACAAGCAACAGACTAGAGGCAATCACTTGCTACTCTTTATTTTACAGACCTAATCCTGTCCAATACTAAAAATTACCTCCACAGATTTGCTGAGTAATTCTTGTAAGATCTGGACATACGATGACATTTTTAATTACTTCATCACATCGTTTTTTCTTTCAGAAGGGGCTGTGGTCACTCAGAATTATCTTTGTGTTTTTTTCTACTGACATTAATAACAAACCTAAGACCTTCATAAACAATTATACCTTCACAATCTCCTTAAGAAGAAAACAAAAAAAAATTACTTAATATATCCATTCTACATTTACTCTCCCTGGCAGTGGGCTAAGGAATAAATTAGTCCACTGTTTCCATTAACCTGGGTGCCAAGTTCAGATGGCAGACCAAGAGGCCTCAGACTTTAGCTACACTTCTAAAGAAAATCAAATAATCCACCCTGGAAGTGAAAACACGAGCAGTTTTCAATTAAAATTCGAAACTGCTGATTCGGAATTTCTGCTTTTTGCATACTCTTTGGACGTGGTTATTCCCCATGTGTAAGTTTGACAAAAAATAGGGAAAAAGTCACATTTGTAATTAAAGCTTGTAATTCACCAGCAGCACTGTTTTATACACAGTTAAAAATCTTGGCCAATGAAGTTAATAACCTAAGTGAAGACAATTGTAGGCACCATGCATTTGAAAAACAGTTTCATAGAGAACAGTTCACTAGTGCAATGAAAACCAACACTAGGCTCTACTAGGCACTATGTACTAAACAACATGAGAACCTATTCAGACTCTGGAGAGGAGTGCTCAGTCACAGATTCCTTTGCCGATTTCCTAAACTTGATCTATTCCCCACAGCCCTCCAAATACGTTCATTTTAATATTCTCCTCGACAACGTGAAGTTGGACCCTATGAGGAAGGCTTCTCCTTGCTACTTAGCTGGAGACTCAACCTACCCCCCTTCTTCCTCTTCTCTTTTACTTCCTTCCTGTTCATATCCCTCCTTTTAAGTAACATTTCCAAATGTTCCAATTTTTGATCTTAAATTCTAGCTCCTTTTAGAAACCATGCTCTCCTAATTCTGTCCTTGTTCTTCTCTCCCTACTGTACTTTTAACTTCTTATCTGGGGCGAAAAATAAACTAATTTTCTCCTGTTTAATAACAAATTTTATAATGGTTGAGAGCCTGAATACGGTGCCTACAGTGCCTATATAACAATATAGCTCGTTAATGATTTCTGATTAAGATTTGCCTGATAAAAGATTTTAAATAAGTTTTACCCTCAGCATGGTGTGCATATTAGAAAAGTCTCTTAACACATACAAGAGCATGCCTGCTTTTCAGCAAGACACTTATCCACAGTGGATTGAACATAACAGTTTGCAGTATACAAGTTTTAATTAGAGAAAAGTTCAGTAGCTTTAGTGGGATACAAAAGACAGGGCTACTGAAAAAGCAAAATTTAAGTATAAAAACCTACTAAGGAAGATTAAAAAGATATGAAAATGCTGTCACTGATGTGAGGAAATTGATGGGAATGCAAACAAGGGAGCAACAGATCAATAGCCTGAAAGACACAAAGATTTTCAAAACTCATTAATATTTCACTACGTAAAATAAAAATACAGTTCCACAGATGAGGTTTTAGATGTATTTGATGTTGCAACACTTACCTGAAGCAACAACAGTGCTTGCCCATAACGTATTTTCTATACTAAGGCTTTCATGAACTGCTGGATCGCTGTCTTCCTGTGAAAAAATAAGAACTGGTACATCAACATCACACATCGTCATACTTGCAAACAATGCAAAATCATCTGAAAAAAATAATCTGCATATGATGCCTGAATCCTTGCATCAAATCACTGCGTAACAGCATTCACTGAAAGTACATTATCCAGATTCTGACAAAAAATGCACTCGTGATTCAAGGTTGTGTTATTTAAACTTATGTTCTGAGAAAAAAATCAACTCAATGTGCTCTTTCCTCAGCTTTACAAAACTGAGGAGCTGTGTGCCAGATCTAAAAGCGAGTTAAGAACTCTAAGCACTAAAAATTAGAGGTTTAATCTCTATGACTACTTTAATCATTTCTAAATGATACAGTAAATCATGGTCATTATCATTTTGCAACCCAAGTGACATTACAACTTCAGGGAAGACTATTTGACTTGGAAATGTAAACGGACCTGCTTTTGCTTACAACGTGTACAAAATGCATACCCAGTGGGAAAACCCTTCCAATACAAAAACGTTTCTATGATTCCATGAACTTTCCTCACCCCTCCATCCCTCCTCGCCTCAGTCTACTAACTGTAAACAAACAATTTTTCATAATTAATCACGAGCATCTGCATATCTGTTATTTAGCAGTTATGAAATGCATTGTTTATAGCTACAGGAAACGTTAGCAGGTAGGGCAATCAAGTGCATTTGATCAGATCACAGATGGCACTCATCATTTTGCAAGAAATGAGAGATCACTGATTACCCAAGCACACAAAAAATTTTACATTAGATTGATTATCAAAACCTATATCTCCATTTTTCACCTTCATTTTGAAAAAAATACCAAGCATGGGATGGACTGCTTACAAATCTCTATTCCTAAAAAGCCAAAAAACTCAAACATGCTTTCATATATAATTGCGAAAATCCCTAACAGGGATATTATAACTTTTTCCTCTAAGATGCTTAGAAAACTATCCTGTCAGAAACAGGGAAAGAAAGGATGCAGAATTAACTAAAAGATTTAAAAAAAACCCCAAAACAACAAACCATATATTTTGGATCAAGGCTCCCCAACGTGGTACATATTCTGTGAAGAATTCTCAGATGGTCTCTGACAAAGATTAGGCTTTGATAAAAATAAAAAAAAAAGGTGTTTTTTTCAATTCTTATGTAAGAAATTAACACTACACAAATCATCACCTTACAACTAAAATATATTAGAGACAACAGCAACTGGGAACACGCTAACCTTGATTCCAATTTATAGAATCGTAGGTGCCCTTATTAATATTAATTTGCCTTATTAATTTGGTGCCCTTAGGTTGAAGGGCACCAAAGAGCCCATCCAGTTCCAAGCTCCTGACATGGAAAGGGTGGCCAACCACTAGACCAGGCTGCCCAGGATGCCATTCAACCTTGCCTTGAATGCCTCCAGGGATGGGGCATCCACAATCTCTCTGGGCAACCTGTTCCAGCGCCTCATCACCCTCTCAACGTAGAACTTCCCCCACACTTCTAGTCTAAATCTCTCCTTTTTCATTTTAAACCCATACCACCTTTCTCAACTACCTACCTGTGTAAAAGTCAATTTCCACCCTGCTTATAAGCTCCCTTTAAATATTAGAAGGCTGCTAACAGGTCTCTTCAGAGCCTTCTCTTCTCCAAGCTCAACAAGCCCAGTTCCCTCAGCCTTTCCTCACACAGAGCTGCTCCAGCCCTCTGCTCATCTCAGTGCCTCCTCTGGCCCCGCTCCCAGAGCTCCACGTCCTTCCTGTGCTGGGGGCCCCAGGCCTGGACGCAGCGCTGCAGATGGGGCCTCACAAGAGCCGAGCAGAGGGGGACGATCACCTCCCTCTCCCTGCTGGCCACTCCTCTTTTAACGCAGCTCAGGATACAGTTGGCCTACTGAGCAACAAGCGCACACCGCTGGTTCACGTCCAGGAGGTTTTCGTTCATCAGGATTCCCCAGTCCTTCTCTGCAGGGCTGCTCTGAATTTCTTCTCCCAGTCTGCACTTATACCCAGGATTGCGTCGACAAAAGTGCAATACTTTGCACTCGACCTTGTTGAAGCTCATTAGGTTCTCACGCGCCCGCTTTTTGAGCACGTTCAGACCCCTCTGGATGGTGTCCCTCCCTCCTATTGTGTCAGCTGCACCACTCAACTCAGTATCATCAGCAAACCTGCCACTATCAGCCCACTTCAGAGCCTTCTCTTCTCCAGGCTGAACAGCCTCAGCTCTTTCAGACTGTCCTATGTCACAGGGAAGGCTACTTGATTTTTACAGCTCTGTATACATTTACCAAGTGGAAGGGAAAAGAAAAGAAATTCTGCTCAAGTACTCTAAATAAGAAATTTGTGGAGTTTCTCACTGCATCACACGGCCAACAGAAAACTCATGCACAAGTGTGCAAAAAAAAAAAAAGCTTTTATTATATACACACTGCTGTATCTCAAAGAGGAAATCATGCTAACATTCGTCAGAGGAGCTGCCAAGAGACACATAGGATTATGCAGTCTATTAGGGCTGACCTCAAAGAACTCATGTTTCGGTCCAACTCTGCAACTCCATCAGCATTGATGGGTTAATCTTTGATAAGATGTGTGAAGATTGTGAAGTGACAGTGCACAGCTGCAACACAGGAGAAATTTAAGGAAAAGATTCTTAAGGGAATGATGGAAGAGAAGCCCAAACATAAGAAAATCAGAGAAGGTCACAAGCTATAGAGATACAGCTTCCACAATTCTGGACATAAGTCATAAGCAAAAGGGAAATAGTGGGCCTGCAGCAGTGAATGTCAGTGGATGCCAATTTTTCCACATGAAGGAATTCAGTGACACACTGTTGCTTCATGCGCAATTCCACGTCAAATGCCATTTCATCCCCCTGCTGCACAGCAACAGAATGTAATGGAATATAGGTGGGAATGTTTAACCCCTACTGCCACACCACCAACATCCATCTCTGATGTGCTGAGACAACATAATAAAATAATAAGAGGCATTACTTTCAGAGCAGCCCTCCAAAAATATATAATGTAGTTAACATACATAATTTTAAAAAAACCCTTATTTTAAGCTTTTATATATTTCATTCAAAAAAAGAAACAAAACCAAAACTAGAGGGTTATCTGACCCTGTTTTTGTGAAACTAATGCATCAGGTTGGTTCAGTGGAAGTGGTTGCAATTCTCAGTGAGGTTTCAGAGCATTCATCAGAGATTTTTTATGAAATTTTACTCTTCCTGTAGTTTGTTTAGAACGTGCTTCCTGCCAAAAAGCAACGGAATGAAGGTGCAATTTGTTGATTTTATCAACTCTTTGAAAGGGTAGATAACTACAGGACAAGGGGAAATGGTTTTAAACTGAGGGAAGGAAGATTTAGGGTGAATTTAGATCGGGGGAAGTTCTTTACAGAGGGAGTGGTGAGGTGCTGGAACAGCTGCCCAGAGAGGCTGTAGATGCCCCATCCCTGGAGGTGTTCAAGGCCAGGTTGGATGGGGCCCTGGGCAGCCTGGGCTGGTATGAAATGGGGAGGTTGGCGGCCCTGCATGTGGCAGGGGGGTGGAGATTCGTGATCCCTGAGGGCCAACCCATGTCATTCAGTGACTCTGTGATTTGTGAAGCAAAGGATATTTTCTTCTGGTAAGACAGTGATTATGAAAATGTGGTAAAGAGACAAGATCAGATTTTTGAGTTGAATACCTATTTGCAATTCTACACATTCCAGTTGCAAATTTGCAGGTAATGTATTTACAGCAAATGAAAATGGTATTGCAAACATAATTTCATGATTTTTTATTTATTTATATTTTTTTTCAATCTTGAAACCAAGTCTTAAGTTCCTTTATCGAAATAATAGCCCTGTGTTTAGTCAAGGTATCAAAATGCACACAGTTATTTGCCATCAGTCGAGTCAGCACTGCTCTCCTTGCACCTTGGTCGCAGTCAATACAGCATTAATAGCGCACTAATGGTTTGGCTGTTGCTGAGCAATTGGAGCATGCCTGGGGCTGTTCTGTGGGAAGCACTGCCAACCAGGCTAGGCCACGTGCAGGCTGCAGGTTGGACATACTTGCTCTAGAATGACAACTAGGATCCAACTAGGATCCTTAGTTTCAGCTGGATGAAATTGTTCTTTTTTTTTGAGAGTGCCTGGTATGATGCTATGCTTTTGGTTCAAGGAGAAAAAAGTGTTCAAAACACAGTAATGTTTATAGTTGCTGCTAAATAGTGTTGTATAGAGCCATGCTGTTCAAAGCAAAGGGCCCAAGGAGTAGGAAGGGAAGAGAATTAGGAGAATTGACTTAAACTGGCCAAAGATATATTCCATACCACATGTCATCAAGTAGGAGTTTTGAAGAGGGTGAGAGTTCATCTCGCTCTTTTCTGCTGCTCAGGGGCTAGCTGGGCATCAGACAGGGCATGGTGAGAAATTACTTGGGCATCACTTACTATATATGAGTGTGTATATATATATATATATATATGCACACACACAAATACACACATATTATTATCCTTCTCCTTTTCTCTACCTCAGCAAATAGTTTTATCTCAACCCATACGTTCTAATTTGTGGGGGTTTTCTTATTTTTATTTTTTTCATATATGTATTTTTACTGTATCCCCCATTCCATTTAGAAATGACTGTGTGGTGCTGAGCCATAACACTTTGTGCTTAAATCCTAATACTTATTATATCATCATGGGAGCATCTGATAGGTGATACACTGGTGTATCTGTAAATCTATTCTGTGCATTCTGTATTTCAAAATAAGCTCAAAGAATGGAGGATGCAAATAAAATCTCACATTTTCACAGAATCCAAGTATAGTTAATCTATTATTTCTTGGTAGGAATCTAGAAGAGGAGGAAAAAAATTTACTTATGTTATTGTTTAAGGGTCAGACATAATCCTTCTCACATGCCCATGCAAAGACACTCACACACAACTTTCATGTACTGTCTGCACATGATGCACCGAAATCCATGGAGGTCAATAAAAAATTACTTCATGTGGACATCAAGATGCAGTGGAGCTTTAATCTCTCTTGATGTAGTTATGCAGGAGTGCTCCAAAACACATCTTCAATCAGCTACTAGGTTAGTTGTGAATATATTCCTCACACAGAAGTACCAACAGAGAAGTTGTTCCCACATAAAAACACTACAGCTGTGCACCTAAGTTTGTTTTGACTTATGGTCATGCACGTTTCCAAATTATCTGGCTGCTATACTGTTAGTACCATATTTTCATAATAAGAAAAAAAGAAAACTCAGTGTGCTATTACCCTGTTAACCTACCTTTGCAAGATTTCTTTGATCACCAATGCCTAAGTAGGAAAAATGTATGCATCAGCATCACTAAGCACATTATTATTACTATTATTTTTTTGAACTGTAATGCAGATCTGGGATCAGATGCAAAAACTGATTTAGTACAATAAGCAAGGGCTCACAGAAAAATTGGAAAGATAAATCAGGAAGTGTTCTGAAGTAACACACTGAGATATTTTGCTTTGTGGAAAGTAAACTGTTAGAACTATGTACACTAAGATCCAGTATAAATCCAAATACGAGGGCACTGTCCTCAGATGCATGCATACAGAAATTTAAAACTACCTGAGCATTTAATACAAATCTAACTGTGAAAACACAAGGTACATCACAGCTGCTCAAATCATATCACTCTTCTTATGTGTATAAATGGAACCCACAACAGGGAGCAACTGTTTAGTTGTGATTTCCCAATGCCTTGATCACATGTACTAGATTTGTTAAAAAGACTCCACGCAGTTCAAATTATGTTTAGAAAAGCACATGTTTAGCTGTTTGGGCAGGGATGAAAATATTACAGCTGTAAATAGTTGTATCTGGGCAATTGGTCAATGCAGTGTTTAAGTAAGAACTGTCACAGCTTCAGAAAGTTGGGGGCAAGGACATTTACTTTGTAGACAGCATGAACCATGTAAATGGTACAAATCTGTCTTTAAGACTCAACAACTGCAGCATCTCATAAGCTCACAGAGGAGTGTGAACTTGAATTCCAATAACTGAACAAAATCTATTACCAGTTTGAGTCACTTGAGTAAAAACCCACTTTTTCTGTATACCTCCCACATTTGTTAATTCTATTGAGATATCTTAAAAGCAAACTATCAAGAGGAATGAATCAACTGAGTGTGGTTGAAGTGAAAAAAAAAGTTATCTGCTAATAGCACAGACAGTGCCACAAATCTATAAAGCAATATTTCTATTTATTATATTGTTACCAGCTGTTGGGATGACTTGCTTTAAAGCATTAACGTTAGCAGGCCACCCAGTGGAACAGAGAAAATCTCACAAAAATATTTGCAATGTCATCATATTTGGTCTTGAATATAGTTAAACCTGGAAAAAAAAGGATTTGATAAAGCCCCCACATAAGCGCCTTCTAGCTTTATTTTTCAACATAACTGAAATTTTCAAGGAAAAGCTAATACTTCCATAGAAGCTGTTAAACAAGGAACATATTTATTGCACAGAAACTGTCAGCTGCATTGTGTGAGGCTGCTGAATACATTAAACCTGACACTGTGACATATTAGACACGAGACAAACAAAATATGGTGCTATACATAGAATTTCATACAATATTATAGTGGTGGCAGCAAATATACCAGATCTTCAAATCTTCTATTTGTATTAGATTTCTGGAATATTTCATTGACAAAATGTTTTGGTAAATACTTCCATGACAGGAACATGTAAATATATTCTTGTAATGCTAAGAAGAGAGGAATAGAAACATATTTATTGATACTACTTACCCGTGTGAAGGTACCCTCAAAACTATGAATATCCAGCTGTGGCTTCTGAGCATAAACATAAGCATTGATTGAAAAGAGATCCTGCAAAACAGATTAATGTACTTACTATTATTTAAACTTGAATTTAATTATTTTGAAGGACCTTTTAATGGTAACAACTTCAGCTTATACGACTCTTAACGCCCCACCCCAAATTTAACGCACTGAAGTTTTATCCAAAAAACACATCACTTTCTTCAGTACATCCTGTTATAAAGCTATCAGATCCAAAATAGTAGTGTAAGCACATCAATTTTTCATGCACTAAACTTTTTTTCTTAAGAGCTTGGTTTTAATTTTTTTTTAGCATAACCTTAAAAATATTTTGCTGGTTCCTTTAAAAAAAAAAATAAAGTTTCTTGGTTTCATTTCATTCTTAAATGAAACTGGAAACAAAATACATTTCCAATAAGGCAAAAGCCAACTGAATAAAAGGTCAAGCAATGAACTCATCTTTTCTTAAATGCTGAAGCTCTCAGTATATCCATCTGCAGTCAACCCATGAAAACTCCTGTAGTTTTAAGAAAGTATTGATGGTCAGGACCAACAGCATCTAAGATTTCAGAGTGAGCAGACCTCACCATCCAGCCTTGGAGAGGATTGATACCAACGCCCAGTGAGACTAAGACTCAACCTATGATGAAATGCAAGGATGTCTAGCTTCTTACAGTGTCTAGCTCCTAATTACTCAGGTTACTTCCATCCTTTATCTACTACTTGAATCTTGCAAAAGGCTAATCATACACCTTCCTCCGGGAAGCCAATTACAGAGTTATAATACCCTGTTCATCTGAGCTAGAATACGCTAGCTTCAAAATTGAACTAATTTTACAGCCTCTTTTATGGACATGTAATCAAGCAGCCCAAACACAGTAATTTTTAAAAATGCTACAATTATTTTCTGATCATAATTGAAATATAACAAAGATCTGAATTTGACTAAAACAATTAGAACACTACAGAAATGAAGTTGCAATTGTCCACACATGCGTTAATGAGCTTTAAAGCCTACACGTCTGTACCTTTCTGTTACTCTGACACAACAATGATAGATTTCTGAATATAATCTGTCACTTTTCCAGGAAAGAGTGGAAACATTTTCTAATCTATTGTGACTTTATCAAGCATGTTTGATTATAAAATGCGTAGGCCTATAAATAAATCATTAGTTTGTATTTCAGCTCATATTCTGTAGAAAAATGTCTTTTACTTCATACCTTGCAAAAATAGTATTTCACATCCTTTTTAAAACATGAATTTAATCAGACCTCTCAAGTTATCTTAATCTTTAAACTATTAATCATTCATTTTAGTCTTTCACACTGCTTCATTCGTTGCACCCTTGTTCTTTCTATCTACATTCATCAGCTTCATGAGAAATAATTCATATGAAACTAATACACAAGCAGCGTCCTGTACCCTCATCATTCACTTCTTTTGAATCTGTTATCACCTACAATTTAGCCAATCTGGGTTATTATGTGCTTTATTATGTAAAGAAAAATAAAGTCTCAGTAATGGATGGTACGTCAGAAAATTAATACCACGCTCACACACTATACAAACTGCTAGTGAAATGCACCAACCCAGAACTTATCCCTTTTCAAAGAATGCCTTAGCAGGAAGCAAGATCAGAATAAAAAGCAGCAGAAATATCTGCCTTTAAGGTGTACAGGTATTTGTGCAGTGATATATTTTCCCACTTCCCAATCTTTCTACAGGTAGTTGCTTCTACTGTGACATCCTCCTTTGTTATACTTTAAATGTTAAAATTTCTACCACATTCCTTTTATTTTTTTTGTTTTAATTCTCCTTTGGTATTTCTGATTTAAAACCCAAACTTTCCTGTTTCTTTTTTTTTTAATTATTATTTTTTAATTTCAACTCAACCTCACCTTTCTGAAGTACTGAGACCTGCACACTGCCTACGCACACTTGTGGCATTATTCTAGATAGAATGCCACAAACTGCAAGCAGCTGAGTATTGGAAAAAAAATAAGACAAAATCTTCTCCAGGAGAAATCTGGGATGGAAGTTCATTGATAGAAAGAAGTTACACAAGCCTATTACATGTGCTCAGTAGCTTCCTAAATCACTTCTCCATTACTGGGGAAAAGGGAAGGGAAAACGACGTTTTCTGTACTGTAGACCAATGCTCCATACAATGAATAGGCATCATTCTTTCGCCAATAAAATACAGAAGCTGAATTCTCATAACACAATGGTAAAAAGAAATCCACAGAATGGTTATAGAAGATTGACATTTACATATGAATTGCATTCAACAATGCAGTTTACTGTAGGAGCACAAAGATGTCCCTTCACGCAGCGCTGCTTTCCCAGTAGTGCATTTCTCATCTCAATGCATTAAAAGAAAACACAATGGAGAATTCAGCCAGGAGGCTTCAAGATTTGTACACAATGCTAAGTGTAAATATAACTTTAGCTCTCTGAGGAAGTAAGATGTACCTGGTCAAGCTTGTGTCACTGCTTCCCTCTACAGAGAAGTAGGGAAAAGAGAAATTTCCTCTAACAGAGATTGAATGTTTTTTAAACACCAGAGAACTATTAATAGTTTAACTAATAAGTAGCTTGGACTACATCAAGTTTAGCCTTATGAAAGAATAATTTGCATATTATAAACATCAAACCAGTACTTCATTGAAGCTGATTTACTCTACCCATATGTTACGAGCAGGGGGATTGTAACGAGTGTAGATTAAAGTAAAAACAATAAACCTAAACCTTAGGCAATAAAAAGTTATTTTTATATAATTGTAGATCAGATGCTTAAAAAAATGACATGGTTACATCATGCATTTCATTCCCTGTAACATGAAAATAATAATCGAAAAGAAATCACTTCATCCTTCGCACTGAAATTCAGGAGATGACTTGATGATACAGTAACAAAAATGTTCTCCTTTGCTTTTCACAATAGTAATTCACCAATCACCCTGCAGCTACCGGTAACACAGAAAAAGCTCCTCTGTTAGGTCAAGGGCAACATTTGTTCACCTTACTTAAAGATCATTAAAATACATTCTTAATCATAACATGTAGTTCATTACAAATAAAATTGCTTTTGGTTCAATAAAACTAATTAAATATAAATGGCATTGTTTACTGCTGTATGGATCTTCTGATATAAATCAGCAAGTCACCATTTATTGAAAATTACAGTGACCTCATTGCTGTTAATAAATTTACTTGATCACTTAAGCCAGAAATGAATGCCCCAGAATGTGTACACTGCAATTAAAAAACCACTTCACCTATAGCTATGAAGCTGCAAGAAACCTAATCTAGTTTTCACAGTATTTGCAGCTCAGCCATCACTAGATGACCCGCTGAAATTTTAATTCTCTGATCACAGTAAGTGCTTTAGGAAGACAACAAAATCTGCACCGATCATCTTCGTGGTGTCATCTGTTCTTTAAGAAAAGGTCTGAAGGTCTGCAGGCACATTTATTCTGGGTGTCACAGCGGGTAAGGTTACAGCACTGCTCTCTTGGTGTGACTGACAGCTCTCAACAACACAAGATACTCACAGCATTTATGTCAGGTAACCAAAGAAATTAAAAATGCATGGTTCTACGAACTACACAGCATATATTAGTTAAATATATGACCCAATTGTTTAGTCTGCTTTATGCACAACTTGCACGTGTTCCCTTACATGATTAAAAATATACTTTAATATGCAAAAATAAACTGTCGGATTTGAAAATGCCCTACAAACACATGGAGAAGACACTGTAATAGGAGTCAACACCTGGATCAGGAAAACCACAACTGCAACAAATATCAGCTATTTCAAAGAGAAGTTTAGTTAAATCCATTTGATCCAGCAAAGGAAAATATTCTGAAAATGATGAGAGAAAAAATAGATCTCAACATCAGCCTGGAGATATTGAGGGCAAAATGGTTTCCCTGAGACAGGACCCCACACCAGTCTGCATTTCTAAACAGATTCATTTTGTGAATGGAACCTGTCCAGCGAATTACTGGTTTATCATAAAGAAATACAAATTTAACCACAGAATCCTAACCCAATATTGTACCCAACCTTACAAATATGAGCACTTCAGTTCAAAATGGCATAGAATTCCAATACGTCTGCTGCATTTGAAATGGACAAGCCTAAAAGACTTTTGTGTTCTCTAAACAGTTCTTTGTAGCCAGAGAACTCATTACGCTCCATCCATTCTCTGTCCTCTACCAACTAATTTTACATGTAGCAAAAAGCAGCATAGTACTGCAGCTAAAAAAACACAACCTACACACAAACAACAACAAAAAAACACCCAAACTCTGTCACACCAATCCTTAAAACTTGCACTCGGTTTGAGATCCGCTGAAAAGACCTGAAGGAAGGGCCCTCAATGTGCCAGTTTGCCACAGCTATTCCTCTCGCAGCCCAGCAGGTGGCAATCAAGAATTATGGCACAAGATGCCCATTTCAGCCCTTTATTTTTTTTTAATTTTCACACAATCTTAAAATTTGTAACATGTAAATTATAGGTACAGTAAGACAGAAGACTCTTAGTAGCATACGAACTGTGGAAGCAACAACATTGATAGAACGGAAGTGTTAGAAACATATTTATTGTAAATGAGTTGGTATTTGAGCAGGCCTATGTCTCAAAATTCCCTAAAGCAAAGTAGGTTTTCATGAATGACACTATCAAAAAAAAAAAAGAAAAAAAAGAAAAAAAGAAGAAAAATAAAAAAGTAGTATGAAAATAGATATTCCTTAACTGAAATGTTTTATTTTCACCATGCCAATTACTGTTTGGGCAAATAGGACAAACTGCCTACCCTGTACAACACAGTGTAAATGGAATGCATGGAGGATCACTTCCCTAGCAGTTTCTTATAACAGAGGAAGGATCACAGCCTGATTCTCCCAACACTTTGTAGAGAGAAAACAAAACCAAAGTTGATCCAAGACTAGAACACAAAGCTCAGTCCTTTGCTAGACAGCTCCAAAGCCCATTAATTTTCTCCAAAAAAAAAGATATTAAGGTTATCAAAGAGAACATACCCTTGTTACATATTGCACATATTAGCAAGTTCATTGCTGTAGAACAGTGCGTTTTCAAGACAGGAATAGATCCTCAACTACATATTTTAAGCATGCTTTTTTGAATACAGTTTGGACTTCAAATAGTGACAAAACCACCTACCTCTACAAAAACAACTTTACATTGTTAAAGCATCTATTCTATTGCACTAATATTTTACAAGCCATATTTTTATGCTAACTACTATAAAAACATGATTCTGCCCACTGCATTTTAATCTGACTTTAAAAAAACAACATGTGTAAGGTGTACAAATATAGTGATCTTTCCACACTTTATGACTCTATTAGGAAATACAAAAATTAATGGTATTTTTTACATGAGTTTGAATTCCATGGTTTTCTTAGAGCTTCACATGAACATTAAGAAGTTGCTCTTACAGTTTCTTCAGACGACAGATAGCATGTGCATGTTATTAACATCCCATTAAAGGCAGAAGTATCTGCAGAAGGTAAGTACTAACTTGCTGCCTGCAGGAACAGACACAGCCGTCTGGAATGCATGTTGGACTCCATCTCTTGAGGTCCCTTCCAACCTCTGCAATTCTGTGCAATTTACCTTCTGTGAAATCTATGGGATCCCCTAAAAAACATTCGGCTGCCATTTTCCTCAAGCAATTTGAAACAAATTTCCCCAAACAATTTGAAGAGAGACAGGCCCTAGGAGTGAAGCACTGCAGGCAGTTCAAGACCAGTTAGGAATTAGCCATTTAAAATGGAGATAAAATCCCACACATTACAGAAATATAAAGGTAATCTAAAATCAATATTCTCTGAAAATAGTGGTTTGGGAAAAAATGCTATACTGATAAGAGTGAAGGAACTACCAAGAGTCAATGGTTTGACCAAACCATGCGATTGGTACGTTAAAAGATGGTTTAGTTTACTCGGCAGAAAATATCATATGAAGTGTCATGAAGACCAAATCTTGGCTAATGTGAGGTAAAGAATTATTACATCATAACTATGTGGATGTAGGAGAGAACATTAGCTGCTTGGTTGCTTCCATTTCCTGCTGGTAACCAGGTGAGGCTTGTTAAATGATTATGTGAATTCAGATTGTCAGTTACAGCTCACGAAAAGGGAGAACTTGAAAAGATAAGCAGGACTTAGGTTAAGAGCAGTAACTATAAGTAACTAAGGAAGGAACGGTTACTATATTGGACAGTTAATTCATGCTGCTTCCAGTTTGAATTTCTCAGTGATATCTCGCTCTTCCATCCCCTACATGCCCCATACAATCAGGACTTGAACCAACCTTCACTTCTGCAAAAACTTGAGGCTGCATGTCCTGCCACTCAACTGAAGATCCTCCAATAGATTCCAATTTATTCTCCACAAATAAAAACAAGTGCAATACAGATATTTACTTTCTTTAAGTCAAAGGCACAGGTTTAAACATTATTTTATGCCATTGTTGTAGATGATCAACAATATACTTCAGTCAAATCTATTCATAAACTTTTTCCCCTAAACAAAGAAGAAAACATAAAAGTTTTAACACAACAATTCTCTGTTGTACTGGGTCTCTTTCTGCATTGCTCTGCAGGAAGAACCGCAGTCAACAAACACAGTTAAGTGATCCTTCCAAACAGAAAGGGAAATTAAAACAAAAAACAAACAAGAAACCCAACTTAAGTTGCACACAGCTGTGAGCCATATGAAAAGACCTAATTAAAGAAAAAGAAGATAGAAAATGGACTGGATTTTAGGCAAATGCGTGCTCAGTAGATGTTCTGGAAAAATAACATTTTTATGAGAAAACAAGATGGAGCAATCACCGCATGCTAAGAACTGACAGAAGACACATTAGCACTAACACTGAATACAGCCGCAAATTATACAATTCCAATTAAGGTCACTTTCTGCACTAGAACTGCTGTCTAATGCCTCATCTAGCATCCCTGTCTGGCATGATCAGTCTTCAGTTCCAGTCCTCATTCCCAATTCTCTAAGTTCAAGCCTACGGGATTTTTCTCCTTGTCGCATGTGAAGCCAGTACCCCAAACCACTATGAACACAAGAAATTTCTCTACCTCTGACTGCCTTTAGTGGGGCAGGAACTCTATAGTTTCCTAACAATAATTGAACAAATCCTGCTAAGATCTGGCAGATCACCAGTCTCTTATTTGTACTATTGAGATGGCACATGCAACTGATACACTCCTCTTTACAACCAAAGGATCTACAGTCCAAATACCCAAAATTCTGTACAAATAAGCTTTTACAACCTTGCATCTTGAGTACCTTTTTAGAGGAAGCCTCTTAATATCAAGAGAACTCTTCTATAGAACAAGATTCTCCAAGATATGACACAATTTAGCATCTTGTTATGAGATGCATCCATAAAAACCTATTTCTAGCAGAGATATGTCATATTTTGAATGTAGATGTATTTATATGTATTTAGTGTCCTTTTTAACAATTTTAATAGCTTTATGTATTTACCTACACTTCAGATGTGTAGATCTATTCAAAAAACTCACACTTGTAAACAAATATTCACATAAGTGCTAGGAAATTCCCCTTGCATGAACTTCCACACTTCATCTACTACATCACTTCATCAGAAGGTCTACTGACTTTACCATCCAAGAGCACACCACTGTTTCCCAAGCTTTCAAATTAGTGATAAAAAACAATGATTTCTCTGGCAAGAATGACCTGCACTTGCGGGTGAGACTATGCACAAGTGTAGCACAACTGTAGTATTTTCAGTTGAGTACGGAGCTCCACGCGGGGACCACATTGTGAATCACTAAGTTGAAAGATAAAAAATCAATTCTGTCTTTGTTTCCTTTCAGTGAGAATATCTGCATGAACAATTTCTCATTCACCATTCAGTGGAATACCTACCCCCAGTTCATTGCAAAAAATATGTATCTGTGGTAACAGATTTTCTTCTTGCACATATACCTGCAACAATTTTAATTGTCATATCTCAAAGGGAAATATGCACATGTCCAAAACATTTTAAAAGTAAATAAATGAAATGCTTACCCCCAAAGCTGGCAATCTCTGTGTGCAACTGACAGCAACCTTCAGTTTCCAATCTGTTTCTCCATCAAGCTGGTCAGTTCGAATGAAACACGAGCCTTGAAATTAGAAAGATATGACTTGAAATTACAAAGATGTAGCTGGTTTTTAGACTTCAAAAATTCAGTTTGAGTTAAAAAAAAACAGAAGAGTGAAAGTAAAATAAATTTACAAACATTTTAAATAAATGTACACAAAATAAATCACACTTTGGAATGTCTGACTGCTGATTAAATGCTTTCTGCCATGAAAACAGAACATTTTTTCCTGATAGAATTAACAATTGCTTGTTTACAAGCATGGGGGGGAAAAAAAATAAAAAAAAAAATTACAGATTTCTTAATAGTTTCTAAACAAGTTTTCAAATATTACCAGAAAGAGACAACACTTCACTGGATAAAGTCGAAAAAGGTTTAACCTTTTTCTCACTTGTGCAATTCTAAAACAAGAGAATGACAAAACATTTGCAGTTTTTGTATCATTGCTGTTTGCACTTAAAGGGTTTCCATCACTTATGTTCTTCCGGCTTCACTGAAACTTCTCCCCTCACATAAACCTTAATAAGGATAACATTCAAAAAACAATCCAGGCTCCTACATATTTGACTTAAAAGAATTAATTTAAAGTTACTTTTAGTTGTCGAAGACTCAAAACTAAAGAAACTGGTCAGTATGTGCACAGTAGTTAAAACATGATGGAAGCTTAAGGTACAAATACACACTGAAGAGAATCAATATGTTCTACAGACAGAAGACTAGTATTCAAGAAACTGAAAATGAAGAGCAGTAACATGATTTCCCCCACCACAATGTGCACCATACAACTATTCTGATGGTATCACCAAATATGGACTATTACATAGGCTACTGATGTAAGGCTCAAGATAAGACTAAATAGGATTTAAAATTAAACAGTATTCTTCACGGACTTTGTTCTAAAGTAAAATACTTTGTTATATTTATTCTCTTCAAAATACTTTGAAGAGTTCAGTGGTGTATACTGCATCATAACTAAGGGTGAGATACCTAGCAGCACCTAGATATTCCACATTTCAGTGCACATTCTATGCATGGCACTGATCAGCCTACTTTCCATCATACTTTTCCTGTACAAGACATTTCATAGTTCTCCTTACCCCTCCTGTCAATGGTTGTTCTCTTCCATCAATTTCATTTAGAATTAATACTACAGATCAATGCAGTTCAAGACCAGAGTGGCTCCTGTGAATGGTTGATTGCACATATATTCATTTAATAGAGCTCACACTATGACATGTATTGGCCAGTCACATTTCCTCTCCACTTCAGCAGTTAATTTCATCAATAACTTATCTTGTAGGCTGTTTCCGTTCTATCCAGAAAAAGAGATTGCTTTCTGCTAAGTCAGCTTTCAATACTGATCACAACAGCAAAATTGAAACAATACAATCTTCTCTTCTACTTCTAATAATTCATCAGAGTTACGTAATTTGAATGATGAGATTTTTAAACCTCACTTAACTAAGTTATAAACACAGGAGTCTAAACATACGATTGAGAACAACGCATAAAAACAACTCCCGACTCCCATGAGTCCCACAAACCTTTAACAAACCAAATATTTCCCACTGCATGGAAGTTGTGTACTTCATAATTTTAGTCAGCAGTACCTAGGACTTCTAAAATCAATATCAATGACTTCTGGGAAAAAAAACAACAACTATTCCAACCAAACCATTTCAAAATGCTTTCATCTATGTCCAGCTCACTACTTTATGTTGTTACCCTCTATTTTTCCTGTTCTTATTAAAAAAAACCAACCCAAACTACATGTTATTACTTATACACATTAACTATATATTTATTATGCAGCCCAAGACAATTCCTCTTCACTCAACGTGGCCCAGGCAAGCCAAAAGGCTGGCCAGCCATGCACAATTGGTGCACCCAATTACGACACTATGTAGACGTTCTTAAACTCTTTGTTTTATATATACTTTGACAGAATGTTTTACATCAAAGTTAATCTATTGCATTTCTAACATGAATATGACATGCAAGGAAAGAACATCTACACAAACATTATACATTGTGAATCCCTTTGTATTCAGTGTTAATTACTGAACCAGGAAATTATTTTCCAGTATATAGAAAAGTTTATCGTATTCATACAAATTTTTAAGTTATTTGCTGCTTAAAGGAGAAGTCATGAATTTAAATGTTTACCAATCAAAGCAGAGCTGACTACAGAAAAATGAAATCCCACACTGAACACAGGGCATCTCTAACACAGGATATCTCTAAGAGCACAACAACGGCTGCGCATCAAGGAAAACTGAGAAATTAAAGTATTTTCTTTAGGCAGTGGGAGTGCTCAAATGCCCATTTTCCACAAACAATAATTACCAAATATTAGAATACAAATTTGAACATAGTTAATGTATCTAATTTATTTTTGTTTTTAGAGTGAAAGAATAGGAATGATCAGAATTACAATTTAAGGTTAAATCTAAAGGAATTACACTAGGTTTGAACAATTCAATCATTTCTGTGAAGAGCAAAGAGGGGCCCAAAACTGAACACAGTACTTAATATGTGGTCACAGCAGTACTGAGTATGGGGGGGGATGAACACGTCCCTGCTTTTGATGGCTATGCTATTTCTGATTCAAGCATGCTACAGACCTTTCTGGTCACCTGGACTCACTTCTGGCTCATGCTCAGCCAAGCACTGAATAACACCCCTGAGTCCTTTTCTGCCACACAGTTTGCCAGCCACTGCCCCAAGCCTGTTACACTGCATGGGATAATTATGATCAAACTGCAGGACCAAATACTTGGTCTCGTTGAACTTTATCCCATTGGTCTTAGACAGCGAACCAGCCTGTCCAAGTCCCTCGCCCCTTCCTATCCTCAGGCAGATCAATACTTCCTCCCAGCTTGGTGTCACCTGCAACCTTACTGAAGGTGTACTCAATCTCCTAGGTGAGACTCACAAGCCTATAATTCCTCATATCGTAGAATCTACATGGCTGGAAAAGACCTCAAAAATCATCTAGTCCAACTTTCCACCTACCAATAATATTTCCGCACTAAACTATGCCCCTCAGTACAACATACAAACATTTCTTGAATACCTCCAGAGATGGTGATTCAACCACCTCCCTGGGCAGCCCATTCCAGCAAGTGACCACTAATTCTAAGAAAAAATTGTTTGTAATATTCAACCTGAACCTCCCTTGGTTCCACTTGAGGTCACTCCTTCTAGCCCTATTGCTAGCTATGTTGGAGAAGAGGCTTACACCCACCTTGTTACAACCTCCTCTCAAGTAGTTGTAAAGAGTGATAACATGTCCTATGAGTCTCCTCCCGAGTAACAATTCCAGCTTCCTCAGATGCTCTTCATAGGACTCGTGCTCCAGACCCTTCACGGCTTTGTTGCCCTTCCATGAACATGCTCCAGCGCCTCAATGCCTTTTTTGTAGTGAAGGGAACACAGTATTCAAGGTACTCAAGATATTAAACTGGACACAATGCAATTTTTTCTGCACAGAGGAATTCACTTACACACCTCTGCTTCATACAGACTTCCATGTCAGACACCATTTTGCCAGACTACTTCTCTGCTGCCATCTGTTGCACAGCCACAAATGGAATGATGGCACTCCTACAGTCATACCACAAACATCCACCTCTGATGTTGTGGGCCAACATAATAAAATAGGAGGTATTACTTTCAGAACAGCCTTTCTATTTTGGAGCAGACATAAAAAAGCTCGCTGTCATGGTTTTCCATAGGTATTCCATATCAAACATCATGCAGTGAACTGACAGAGGTGGGATGGCTGCTGGGGAGCTGCAGTTTCCAGCAGCTTTTGTTAAGCCCACATGGTACTGGGTGGGAAGCAGGTAACATAACCATAGCCTTACTTCTGGTCAATACCATCAGCAGCGTAGTTATAAAGGCATCTCTCTCTCATTTGATTCATTACCCCTGATTCCTTTTATACTGTGTTCTCTCTCATTTCTTTACCGTTTCTAGTAAAACAGTTTCTCTTTATCTCAACCAAGTTGTAATCCCTCCTTTCCAGCTCTTTGCTGACTTCCCACGGGGGAACGGTTGGTAGATGGAAACCCCCTGCCATGGTTCAAAAGACTCTCAACTGGTGACACTCATCCATCAACACAATAACTTCAGGCCTTGATATATCTGGCTAACATTTGCCAAAAAAAGGGCAAGTGCTAAATATAGAGTAAGCAGGGGGAATCTCACTTAGTCACTTAAGGTCTTATTCAGCATGTAAGAGCATGACACATACAGAACAAATATTTCTGCAAATGTCTTTTACTTAAACGTGCATCAATAACATGGTTATTCATTTGTGCACTTGCCTGCTTCTAGAAAATGTGAAGAAAAGCTCTCAAAACAAAGACAGGTTGACTCTGGAAAGTGCTTGAAAATATTTAGCCTAAAGTAAAAGAGAAGCCTACAGATGAGAAAGGAAGAACAGGAAGGAAAGCTTCTTAATGACATAACAACAAATTATATGTATACACGTGTATACATAATAAGATTTCTCTTACTCAATATTATGCCCTATGCATTAATTTCTTTACTTGCCGTTATCTTTAATTTCCTGAAGTTACCATACTGTATTTACATGTGTTACTACCACTTCAATTGTATTTTTACATAAGCTCTTCAGAGAATTAATTACAATTTTTAATACAGTCCTCTGAAAACAACTCCCTACTTAGGTCATTGCAAAGTTTTGTTATGTATTCTAGCTTACAGGGTTTTTAAATTATGTCATTTGGAAGAGGAACAATTGTTATGTATTACATTCTTCATTCTTATTTCATTTGGAAATGTTGTTTTTGAAAAGCAGAAAGACAGACTTGCTTTACTTAAACCAATCACCTCACTAATCAGCCTGCTTACCATGTAATTTGTAAAGTGTTGTTAAAAATAAAAATCTGAGTAAGAATATGGATAGCAATCTGCTTTGCAAAAAGAAAATTCAATTCAAACGTTAAACAAAACAGCATCTTTTGCTTTTCATTGAAGGCTATACAACAAAG